CCTTTAGGGGCTGATCACACCGAACACAGTTTATTCGTTGAGAGGCACCTTTTTTTGAATGGTTTACTAACGGCTGTGAGCGTTTTGCGTCCTACATGCCTCTGGTTTTAACCAAATGCTACGGCTGGCGTTTTTGCCCTAGGTTGAAAAAAAGTCAACTCCGTGCAGAAAAATAACGTTACGTCACTCGCGTATTATTCATTCTCCAATCAAAGGAAAGCAGAGGCGAGGTTTCCGCTGAGGTGCCTGCAGTGTTTGTGTGTTCAAGACAACAACGGAGACTTTTGAAGATGGAGGAGACTTGTGGTTGCTGTTTTGAATTATCCAGAGCTGTATATCACAATATTTTTAATTATGAATATCACAATATTATTAATTATTAAAATTATATTAATATCAATAGCAACACTCTCGAACAATACCCAGCTGCTCCAGTCATTGCCTAGCGACAAAAAAATAAAATAGCGTACCACGCTCCTTTTTTTTTCTTGACAACAATAAAGCAGTGTGGTGCGCCTTGCGTTTTTAGAACGTAAATGTGCGTTCGTTATAATCGGCCCCTTTGAGGTCAGAGGAGTGAGGTTTACCTGCACAGCATGGTTTTCGCTACATTCATTCTTCCATGCCGGGGCGCCACGCTAAAATTCATCCCGCCACGGCTACATTACAGCGTCTCATTAAAAACATTTAGTTTTTTTAATAGCGGGTGAATAATTTGCACCAAAACGTATTAAAGGGTAAGTGAACTATAACAGTGCAAACTTTTCTGTAACGGTAGTAGTGCTGTGTGTCATTTGTTTAACCCTTTAAGGTGACGTGCTGACTGACTGACCGACTGACTGACTGACTGACTGACTGACGGGTTGACAGGTGCGTGAGGCCAGCAAACATGACGTATAACCGTTTCAGTCTACTTCAGGACGCATTAATGCTGGAAAAACCCCTAGAGGAAACACTGCACAGGCATCAAACTTGCAGCTAAATCTTTTTTAAATGTCCCATGAAGTGCCTTGATATATTTGATATATGCTTTTTTTATTCAATGTTTGACATAATCTCAACCCAAACATAAAGAGAGAATGGGACATAGAGTAGCTTCTCTTCTTTAAACGGAGCCAATAGCGCTTAGTTTTTAACACAGTGCTCCCCGAGAGTGGTTGAACTCTAGCGCATCAAATTTAAAGCAAACGTGAAGCATCTTGAAGAAAGTGGGAGATGTGAGATACTAGAGAGCATTTGATTGGGCAGAAGATTTGATGAGAAACTGAAGTATGTGGTGATGTAAAAAAAGAAAAATAATAATTGATCCATTTAGGTGGAAGTGACAAACTGCAGGCTTTAGATGTTTATATCTTCTACATGGAAAGTTTGTCACTGTTTTGGAGCATACTAGCTTATAGTTCAGACGAGGGGTGCCCAAACGTGGTCCTGGAGGGCCGGTGTCCTGCAAAGCTTAGTTCCAAATTAATCAGACGCACATGGGCTATAGCTAATCAATCGCTTACTAAGCTTTCTAGAAACATCCCTGCAGGTGTGTTGAGGCAAGTTGAAGCTAAAATCTGCAGGGCATCACCCCTCCAGGACCGGATTTGGGCACCCCTGGTTAAGACTAACATACTGATACCAACACCTTTAATTTAAGAGGGACTTTAAATGTTCTACCAACAACCTACATCTTCGATGACCTGAATATGATTGTGAGTACTTTTGGGTAATTTGTCCCTTGAAGAGTTCACAGCTATCACAGTACATTTTTGTTCATCTTTATAATCCTATAGGAAAATGTAAGAATATAGATTGGACAATGTTTAACTCATAAACAATAAAAAACATATACTTTTTAAATCATAGATCTCAAACTCAATTCCTGGAGGGTCGCACTCGATTAGTTGGATCAGCTGTGTTTGATAAGGGTTGGAGCAAAACTGTGCAGAGCTGTGGCCCACCAGGAATTGAGTTTGAGATTTAAATTGACCATTTAAAACCTTTAACCAATCAAAATCAACATGACTTTAAATTGTTTTGGTAATCTAATCAAAGTCTGACCATTTCTGTTGCTGCAATTTGACGGAAAAAGAAAAAGCCCAATCTTTTTTTTTTTTTTAAATTAACCTTATAGTGCTTTTTATAGTTATTGTTTTTGGTTTGGTCTTGGACATTTTGTTAATAGTGTAACAAAATTTTCTTCACGTACCAGTGACATATCGGCGCATTTTTCCTGTGGAGTCCTTGAGTAAGGTGGAAAATCCATGGAAAGGCATCACTCTGAACCGCTGTATACTGGTGGCCGCGGTCATCGTGGTGGTCAGTTCAAGCATTGAGTTAGTACAAGGTGAATTGCTGAATGTGAGCCCTGCCTGCTGTGAATATGTGTGCATGTAAATATACAGGTAGTAATTTTTTCACAAGATCACAAAATCCCTACCTGAGGTGTGACATATCATTTCTAAGATTATATAACATTATAAAGTGTATTTTAAGCTATGTAAATTATTGTTCAGAATCTGGGGGTCAGAGAATATTTTGATTCAGCATGAACATATTAAATTGATTGATTCAAAAGTAAAAACATATTTCATATAATTATATAATTATATTATATAATTTCATATATTTCATATAATTCCTTTTATTTATCGAATCCTGAAAGCAACGTAACAGTTTCTACAAGCATATTAAGCTGTATAAACATTAATAATAGTGAGTGAGAAATGTTTATTAAGGTGAAAAACTGTGGCACGCCATCCATTTAGGTTTTAATTTAAACATACTTTCTGTTTATTTCAATTTTCTATTCTTAAGAGTTTTATAGATTACGTGTTTTAACTTTTTTGCCATAGCAAATAAGCAAATTAAAATGATTGCTAAAAGATTAAATCATTGCATTTTAAAATATACAAGAGAAAACAACTAATTTCAATACTAATGATTATTTCGATTTTTAATTAAATGAAGCATTGCAACATTAAAATCTTACTGACATCAAACTTTTGAACAGATATATCTGTATATACAGTTTACGTCAGAATTATTAGCCCCCCTAAATTATTAGCGCCCCTGTTTGTTTTTTTTCCTAATTTCTGTTTAACAAAGAGAAGATTTTTTTCAACACATTTCTAAACATAATAGTTTTAATAACTCATTTCTAATAACTTATTTATTTTATCTTTGCCATGATGACCGTAAATAATATTGTATGAGATATTTTTCAAGACACTTCTATACAGCTTAAAGTGACATTTAAAGGCTTAACTAGGTTAATTAGGTTAACTAGGCAGGTTAGGGTAATTAGGCAAGTTATTGTATATTGATGGTTTGTTCTGTAGACTATCGAAAAAATATATAGCCTTAAGGGGATAATAATTTTGACCTTAAAATAGTCTTTAAAAAATTAAAAACTGCTTTTAGTCCAGCCGAAATAAAACAAATAAAACTTTATCCAGAAGAAAAAAATCTTATCAGATATACTGTGAAAATGTCCTTGCTCTGGTAAACATAATTTGGAAAAAAAAAAAAATAAATAAAAATAAATAATTAAAGGGCGGTTTAATCATTCTGACTTGAACTGTATATTTTTATATATGTGTAACAAATCACAACCCACGGTTCAGAACACACAGATTAATACTTTTACTAAATTTGTAACAATCACAGAGAGATCGCCTCTCACATCATTCAAATCACATGAAAACATTTAGGCTTTTCAGGATGTGCTGGGATTCTTAGGTCATTAAAGATGTTTTTTGTCACTACTTGTTTAGACTGCATTAATGCATTCAGTGTAAGCTGCAAGATTAATCATTTAAAGATTGGGAGATCAACACCCACCTTAAATTAAATTATAAATAAGGGTCATTTGCATATGTTTATTAATCTATAGAATCGCTGCATTCAAATCTGAAAGCGCAAAGATCAAGAATGAGATTCAGTCTTCAGTTTACAAACAGTTATGAACATACAAACAGTCAAATAACACAGAAGTGCTGGGATATCAGTTTATAGTTCAGATATAACCTCTGATGTTTATGGTAAAGATTACAATCACCCTCATATGCATTTAAAGAGCCCATATTATACATGAAATAGGGTCATATCTTGGTTGTAAGGGTCTCCAACAACAGTTTAATATGCATGCAAGGTCAAAAAACACTTTCGTGGTCTTATAATCTGCATTTATTTTTACCTAATTATCCCAGCGACTCCTCCCTAGCGCGAAGCTAATCTGCACTGATTGGACCAATGACAGTCTGTTGCGATTGGTCGACTGCCTTCAGTCAGAGAGTGAAATGCCAAACAGCTAATCAGCAATATAAACAATGTAAGCAATGTAATCACAGTTCATACACGCTCGATAGTGTAGGCGTGGATTTTAGCTGCCAGTGGGTCAATGTAAATACAGACTATGGACTTAAAAATTCAGACGACTGACTATTTTATTGAGCAAAAACTCCAAAAACAGTTGAGGAGATCTCCTAGTTTCTCACTCTGCTCTTTTCACAGACACACACACATATTGCACACACGCACACGCACACACACACACACGCACACACACACACACACATACTTGTTTTTGTGCCCCATGGGGACTTGTGACTAGAAGGTTAACTATGGGGACAGCAATTTCTAAATACAATTAAGCCATAATTTTAACTCATATGTGTCCAGGGGATTTTTTTATCATAAAAACAATCATTTTTTATCAAGAATTTTGAAGTTTAAAAAAATGAATTTTTGTCAGGTTTTTCTATTCTTGTGGGGACGTCGCTATTTTGTCTTACCACAAGGAACCACCAGGTGTCAATATGACATACCAGTATATTATCATATTTTTATAATAAGTCACTGTAAGACTACAAATTACATTTAGACAACTATTAAAGAGTTATTTATAAGGGAAAATTGTGTGCATTTATATTTTATTGAATTTTACTTTTATCTTGCGTTCTCTGTTTATTCTATGTTATATTACAATAGACCATTTCTAAGGGTGTAAACAGAAAAAAGCCTTAGCTTTTTTTAAATAAAATAAAATGTTTATCCTGCTCAGTTGTACACATATGTTGTTTTAATGTGCATTTAAATAATGTATGAGCATCTTGGCATTCTATCAAGCATTTTTTTTATTAGATATTCTGAGATACGCATAAAAATTAACGGAGACATAGCCAAATTTACGAGAATGTAAAAACTCAATACAACTCGGAAGTGTTTTAGTGTTTTAAACATTTATTTAAATGTTAACATGAACGTTTTAGTATACTGCTCTTTAAGCAGATGCATGTTGAGTTTGCTTAAACAAGATTCACATACATGTTGCCTTTAACAAAGACAAAACTGGTGAAGGCCCTTTTACATTTTTTTGCTTTAACGAAATCAAACTTGTTGCTTTCAACAATCATGAAAAAAAAAACAGTGGTGAAGGCCCTTTCACCTACCTTTCACATTTTTTTAAGTAATAAATTTTCTTTCTTCCGGCAAACACGAAAAAAATAATTAGATGAAGGTCCTTACCTTTCACAATTTTTTCTTTAGGGAATCAATGCGATTTTTTACATAAAATTTCACCCCCTCCCAACTTCTATTTTGAAGTGCTGCTGGGGAACTTTCGATACAGTTCATGCACTGGGCTTTACCAGGAACCTTTCCAGACATTATGAATTCCATCATTGTCTTCTCCACGGCCTTGATCTCCTCCAAAGACCACCTTCTTCGCTCGTTTTGTGAAGATCCTGAATAAAATTTAAAACATAATTAGTGAAAAAAAGACTTAAAGACCAAATAAAACTAATTCATGGTCTTCAGTGTGTCTCATTGTTTTTAAAGTTGTATACACATTTTTGCTAAAATTTAGTTGATGGCTGACAATCTGTCATGTTTACATCACCCAGCAATAAAAGGAAAAAAATGCTTGCAATTAGTCACCATGTAAGTTTAACTATTCTCGTAAATTACAGCAAGATGTCTAAAACTTTTAGTTAATAGTTATTTGTGAGCTTCTGCATGCAGACCACTTTTCATATGCTAACGAATATGTTATGCTATCAAAAATCAGATAATTTCAGAAACTGATTTTTATTTGTTTACATTCAAATCAGTTAAGCAGCTGCAAAGAAAACCACATTTACATACGATTCTAAGGTTTGACAGATCAAAAGCAGTAGCTAAAAAATGACTAATTATGACTTTTTTACTGTACTGTACCTGCAAATGCAGCACTTTTTTGTGATTCTGCATCAACTTTGTGAGTCAACAACATGATTTAAGGCTTTAATTAAACAGTATATGTAATATTACTGCTGCCCCTATATAAAAGTGCCCGCAGTATGAAGCAGGCAGTATTGATTGAATTCATGGATAATGACTAGAAGGAAATCCGTTTGTGACGTCTACCTTGCATGTACATGAATAAACTTTAGAAGAAAAACAGAAAGGGCAACTTATTTCAGAAGACATTTTAAAAAACAGCTTACTCTTTGTTCTGTGCGGTTCCGGCAAGTCCTTGCTAGTCGGCTGCAGTTTTTTAGGATTCTTGCCTCCTACAAACATACAATTACAACTGAGAACATTATTCAGTAATGGCACAGAATACCTACTAAGTAAATTAGCAGTAAATGTGTCACACATGTATTTAAGAAAATATTAGCAGTCGAAACAAAACATATTTTCACTTCATCCTCAGGATATAAAAATATATAATATAGAACATATAGAATAGAAAAATAATGAAAGCAAGTAAAGGGCAAATCATAAAAGCAGTGCACAGAATGAATTTTATTCACAATTATAACAACGTCAGAAGTTTTTAAAGCATCTTTTTTATTTAAATCTCATTACCTTTGGATGGTTCTTGGTGTTGTCCAACCTCAGCAGACTTCTTTGATTTCTCTGAAAAACAATACATCTCTTTTAGCACAAGATTTTTCAATAATAACTCCTAAATACCAATATCAGACCGTTGTCACAGCCACCTCCCCAACCTGAATCCCAGTACACCTGACCACAGTTCCCTAATAACTGATTAATTACACCCCTCATCAGTTTCCTTTATAAGCAATTACTCTGCACTTACCCATTGCTACTTACCTGTTATTGTCAACACATTCGTTCATTTCGCTAACCAATCCATCAAAGCTTTCAGTATGGCCACAGAAGCACTCTCGACCTCCAAACATTTATTCTGTTTCCACCCAGGTTCATCCACCATTGGCAATTTCACTCACCAGACTTTGACAGTAGCTAGTGGGTGGAACGAGACCGTGCTCATTAGAACCTATCAACAAAGCTTGAACCCAAACATTCGTTCTGCTATTATGATGTACAACACCATTGAGTAATGGTGTCTGCCTATTGCCTATTCCAATCACTATCTGCTTGCCATATCTCCAACGCCACTCACGAGCTTGCCTCCTATGCTGCCTGTACTCCGGTACCAATCTCTTGCAAGTGTACCTTACCCACGTCTCAAGCACAGAAGCTGAATGCCACCTACCTGCTGAAGTATGTTTATTCTGCGCTGCCCCTGGACATTTATTCATAGACTGCCTCATCAAGCCCCACGTCCAGTGTTGAATCCTGATACCCAAATCATGTCAGTGGTCGCATCAGAGTATTCTGCATTACAGGATGTCTTTAGTAAATGGGCAACCCCTTATCTTCCATCTCATCAGACATGGGACTGCACTATCCAGCTGCTGCCTAGAGCACAAGGCTATGGAGGAGTGTGTGGAGGACTTAATCATCAATCTCACTGCCTGCTTCCAGGTTCTTCTTTGTGGGCAAAAACAATGGAAGTCTCCATTATTGCATTACATTTACATTTTACATTTAGTCATTTAGCAGATGCTTTTATCCAAAGCGACTTACAAATGAGGACAAGGAAGCAACTTACACAACTATAAGAGCAACAGTGAATAAGTGCTGTAGGCAAGTTTCAGGTCTGTAAAGAAAGTATAAGAAGCAAGAACATTAGTAATTTTTTTTTTTTAATTAGTGGAGGAGCCAGAGAGGCAATTGCAGATTAGTAAGGAAGGTGGAGACTAAATAGTTGAGTTTTTAGTGGTTTCTTGATGACAGCGAGTGACTCTGCCGTTCTGATGCAGTTAGGGAGTTCATTCCACCAACTGGGCAGATTGAACGCGAGAGTTCGGGAAAGTGATTTCTTTCCTCTTTGGGATGAACCACGAGGCGACGTTCATTCACAGAACGCAAGTTTCTGGAGGCACATACATCTGCAGAAGTGAGAGCAGATAAGAAGGAGCAAAGCCAGAAGTCACTTTGTAGGCAAACATCAGAGCTTTGAATTTTATGCGAGCAGCAACTGGCAGCCAGTGCAAACAGATGAGCAGTGGAGTGACATGTGCTCTTTTAGCTTCATTAAAGACCACTCGTGCTGCTGCGTTCTGAAGCAGCTGAAGAGCATTAAATACCACACACTGAACTCCCAGGTAGTCCAGTTGCCTTACTTACCGACTGGAAGATGTAAAAGACAGCTTTCGTCAACCCTTTTGGTACTGCAAGTACCAGGTCATGCTGTATGTACTCTCCATCTTCCCAGCCATCTTTCATTATGCAAGGTGTTTTGTGAGTTCCTCCATTGTTTTGTTATTGTCTATATTGAAGACATCCTGATTAACTCCCTTAACTTGGCCAAATAGTGCCAGCACATCACAGCGGTCTTATAACATCTTTGCCTACAAACCCTTCTGTGCACAGATGACAACCTACTGGGACACCCAGGCAGTAGAAGACCCTCTGGCTCCTGCAAGCTTGGTATTGGTGGCACAGTGGATGCCAGTGGCCAAAGATGTCATCAGCTCCATCCGTCCCCAACATCACATAAGGGTATCAGGAGCCTCCTCTGGAGAAGACTGTAATCTCAGGCAGTCACCACAGCCACCTTCCCCACCTGAATCCTAATCAATCCGATCAAAATCCCCTGCTTACATTTTTATCGCACCTCTGCGCTCCCTCATCAGTTCCTTTTATTAACAGTCACTCTGCTCTTACCCAGAGTTTGATCTACGGTTCACACCAATGAACTTACCTGACTCACCCATTGCTACTTACCTGTTTGCTGTTGTTGGTTCTTTGTGTCCTGGTGCCTTTGTCTCCTGGTCTCATTGTTTTCTGTGTTCTCCTAGATTAATACCACTACCTGCAATAAGCAACAGGCCAATAATGATTACCTGCTCCACTCAGTGCGATGTTCAGACCTAACTTTGTTAACCGCATCAGCTTAACTCTCCCACTCTATTTTTTTCTTTTGTTATTAATTCTGGAGGACAAACTTGCAAATAAAACAGTTTTTCTCTGGTCTACCTCCGAAAACAGCACCTCACATTCACATTCTGTTCAAAGTTCCTCTTTTTGCTTCATTTTGCCGTTACTTTTTTGTTGGGTTTTGCCAAAGTAGAGTCATGGAGCTGCATTTTTCACTGGTGTCTAAACACCAAGAGGTGTATGATAAACATAACAGCAACAACAATGTCAGCAGGAGGACATTATTATGGAGAGTAGCAAACATGATTTAATACTGAGTTTCATTTCACTTTTCTTCCATGACATGTACAAGCCTTAACACTAACAATACATGACAATAAACCATACATTTGCTTTTATTTTACTATGTTTGTGGTCATTATTCCTTGCTAAGCACAAAACAAATAACACACATTACACATACAGTACCTGCTGAATTTGAAGGTGAGGCACCATTTCCAGTTGACTCAATCTCATCTTCAGACTCGGATCCATCACTGTCCAGCAAAAGTTTCTCTATAACAGACAAAATTATTAGGCAACAACTTTTTAATAACATTCAACAATTGTCTATAACTAATGCTGGTGTTCCCGGTAATAACCCGGGAATACTTTACCTTGGGGATCAATCTGGATTTCATCCAAATTCTGTCCTTTAAACTGTGAAAGCTGTCCTCGTTCCATGGCCATCAAGACTTTGCTAATTTTTGCTAGCTGCAATGTGCCTTCAGGAAGTCTGTAATATTGCCTGTGGACCCTGATGTCATGCCCTAAAAAATCTGCGAGGTTATCCATTTCATTTTCTTTTAAGTTTAGCACCTTGGACATAGTGGCCATGTGCTTTCGCAGTTTGGTGGAGGACAATGCCTCGGGGTGCTTTGCTCCACAGCTTTTTGCTATGTTACGAATGACGTCAGATCCTCTGAAGAAAGTGAGAGCTTGGGGTCTTCCGAACATAAAGACGTTCTCATCTGGCACATCACAGCTGCGGCGAGTCTTCACCAACAACTCCATTGAGACGACCATATTAGGAGTGAGTAAAATGGGGACTTTTCTGCCACGTTTTCCTCGGACTTCGATTCTTTGAAAATGACTACAAAGTGACTTCTCTAGATCGGACAGAGCAAGCTCAACATCCGGATGAGTTGAGGATGTGTCCCTTAATGTAAACGAATTAAGTGACATCTTAGACACCTCTCCTTCCCTTCTTCGATTAAATAGTATCACCTGACAAAGCGTGACTTTGGCAAGTTCTGCCCAGTGCTTCATACTTTGTTCTTCCTCAAGTCTTGCTTGATATGCCTTACTTTGGCAGTCAAGATACTGATGCATTTTCTTCACATCTTCCGCAAACGGAAGAAGCTGTGGACAGTTCCATTTAACTTCACTCAAATTACGAAGGGCCTGGGATGACACACACTCACTCCATTTAGTGTCACATATTTGCTTGAAAGCTTGCACGTTGCTAAGACTATTCTTATCATCTGCCATCATGGCATCACACTCAATAATGCTGGCCATCTTCTTGAGGTTGTGCCCTAACTTCAGTGCTAAAGATGGTGTTTTAAATGTGCTTGTCTCTTCGTTCAAGCCAGCTACACTGTGAACTGCTTGAATAACATAAGGGAAATTAGCTGGAATAAAGAAATCAGACACCTCCTTCAGCTTACCATTTTTTTTCCCTTCGAGGACAAGACGTCCAGTTTCACGCATTTTTTGCCTGATGTATTCATGCTTCGTAACATCATGGCCATGCTTATTGAAGAGATGTTGCCCTAATTTCAGTATGATTTTCTCTTTGCGGACAACATGGGTTATCTCATCGTCATGCATATCAAGCACCATTTTCCAAAACCTTTCACTTATATTGTCTGGAACAGGTTCAGCATATGAGCAAAGTGACTGAACACGAGTTTTCCCTGGCTTCATTTTGTTAATTTTCTGGCTCAGCTGGCATCTTTGCATATGCCGCCATAGCGATTTTCTCTTCAGATACGCTGAACAGTTAATGCAGTGCAAATAATCACTTGCATTTACTGGTGCAGTGGATTGTTGTTTAGGAATCACCGTTCCTCTTCCTTCACTGAGTACCTGAGCGTTATGACATCGGTTCCCCTTATTCCTTAACAAACTCAGCTGTATTTTTCGCTCTTTAGAGCCTTTCGGAAAAGCAATCGCTCTTGCCACCTCTAGCTTATCTTTATGTTTAGACTCTAGGTGACGTGCGATTTTACTGAATGGTTTGAAGCAGAATAGGCAGTAAAACTTTTTGTTATATAGTCTGGCTCCATCTTTTTTTTTTTTGAGCATCATGACATTCACATTAAGATTATTGGGTGAATGTGATTCTTCATGTTCTCCTGATGAAGAAGATTGAAGTGAACTGTCCTGTTTGTCAGATGCAGAGGATTGTGAAGGAGACACACGTCTTTTTTTACATGCTGGAACATTTGAAGTTGACTTTACCTTTTTCTTATTATTACTTATCTTTTTTACTAAACTCTCTACTTTTTCTGAAGTGTTACTGTCAGACTCTTCAGTATCTGGCACGTAATCATCCTCACTGATATCTGATCTTGATGAAGATTCTTCTGAAGCATAACCAAGTATTTTCTTGTTAAGCTACAAATAAAAGCCACAAGTTAGAAATCAGAAGTGACAAGACCAACGACATCTTAAAATTATGTGTATATCTGCAGCCACTGAATCGCTGGTAGTCATGACAGGCTACCAGTTTGTAACATTTTAAAAATATATATCTTATTTTGTGCTAAAAAGAAAAAACTGTGTTTTCAACCTTTTGAGGCTAAGTAAATAGAAAACAAATACAATTTTTGGGGTAAACTATAACTGTGGCTCACTGTCTAGACTGCATACTAAACACAGTGCTGAAATCTGGCACAGGTGCTCTAGTGCATGCTAACACACTACCAAATTTGGGGGCCAATTGCTGACTAGAGAGCACTGCAAACTGAAAATAACAAGTTTTGATGGCATAGTGAAAACACAAATCATACTTAACATAAGACTCACCAATCAAATTTAATCATTTAACACAACTAACCTTTGTTTTACACTTTGAAATCAAAAAAGAAATTTTCTCGCGTTCCTCATTTAAAGTTTTTGTATACGCCTTCATATAAAAAATATTTAAATGCGTGTATGTGTGTGTGAGAGATTGACGAACGAGTGCTCACTTCACTGCTCTGCAGATGCTGTGAACGGCTGGGTATATTTATTTTGGAGATAATATAAAATATGTTACGTACATACGTTGCTGCTGTTACGTACAAATTACGTATGAACTCAACACAATAATATCATATTACATCTAGACAAAATAGCCTAAGCTATATTAAAATAATTTAAAGAACTATTGTATATAATAAAAACATTAAATAAATAAACCAATATAAAATAAAAGCTATATCAATTTAGGTATATATAATACAAATAAATTAAACGGTTTCAAGCCATTTTTAACTTTCATTTTACAAAGGCCTATCTGGAAAAAAAGCTATTTTCTAAAAACAATAAACAATGGAGGAGTTTTGAAATATTATTTATAAAGTATTTGGAGATGATGATATTAATCAAATCGTGCAAACAGAGCATTTTTGGGTGAGCGAAAGCAAAACTACCTTCTTCTTGTTTTATATTATGGCTGGTGCGCTCGGTCATCCCTCTGTTAGTGGCGAGACCACTCGATGCACGATGCCAGCAGTCGGCCAGCGAGTAAACTAATATAATGAATAAATATACATAGGCCTATGCGTATACATCATTTAATGCATTTAATAGCTTTGCATTCTGCACTGCGAGTCATTGGCCTGACAGTGGAAACGCGACATAATTTCAGCCTCACTGCTCAAGCTCTCTGACTATTGGCTCAGCCCGGCCCGATAAAAGCCCTGGCTCGCACTAGCCCAACAGTGGAAATGTATGTAGCTAGATTTGTTTCTTTATTATTCAATCAAAAATATTTAGTTTTAAAGTAAAATTAAGTATGTTGTAATTAAAGAATTAAAGATTTCAAATAAAAAACACGTTTATTTAAAAAACTTATGTCAATGATAATAAAATATTTTGGATTGCAAAAATAAACACTTGTCCTATTATGCAGTTACCACAATTTTCATTGCATACTCATTAATTTTGCTCTCTTTTCTGCAGTCTTTTATTGCACATCTAGAATCTTTGCTTGCAGGTTGAAAGATTTTGTTTGTGAGTTGAAAAGTTTTGAACCCTTGAATGCCGGGGTTAAATTTGTGTCTTTATTACTCAAACAAACATATGAAGTTTGACCAAAACTAAGTAGAATGCAATTAAAAAATTAAAGATTTAAAATAATAAAAAAACATTTATTTAAAAAAATTCACACTACAAAAAATAAACTATTGCCATGTTATGCGGTTACCACCAGATTAATGCACTGTGTGCTCATTTATTTTGCTTTCGGTTTTGTTTTATTTTTGCGGATCTAAAATTTTTGCTTTTGAGTTGAAAAGTTTTGCGAGTTGAAAACTGCAGCTCAGTGGGCGGGATCTTCTGAAACACCTTATTCTATTAGTCATCTTGATTGAGGTCACCGGTTGGCCTCGCCCATTACATTTTCGCGCGGTTGGAATGGACTGCCGTGCCTTCTGTGACAGGAGCGAGCTATGGCGAGCAGCAGGTCTTCTTCAAGGTAGGTTAACTGAAACTGTATAATAACTTGTGTATTACCATACATATTTCCCATCTAAATATGTTACGACTGCTAGTATTAAACTCTGTCTAGTCAGTGATATTTTTGAATTCTCTCAATAAACTAACATTAGCTGTCGGCCATCAGTACTGTACAGTTGTAAAGGGCAACACAAGGCCAGTGTATTTTGGAAAATATACATTGATGTACCATTAAAGTCAGGCTTTTTGTCTGTAGATGATGGCCAGGTGTACAGTAGGTCTGCAAACAGACTGGGATACATTCTCGGCAACCCATTAATCTTCAGTTAGTTTTCAGACAAAAGCTACTGTCTCTTTGAACTGGAGCATCATATTTATTCTCCACTGTTAGAAAATGTAGTAACTCAGTGTATGTATATTTCATTACAAACGTGACAAATATTTATTTAGTATATTTCGTTTTGCATATAAATGTTAGTTCATACATTAGTTAACTTGAATTAATTATGAACAGGATATCTGTTAAGCAATAATTAATCTTTGTTAATGTTAACTAAACATATTAATGCATAAGTTAAAAAATGATGGTGAACGAGTTTGTTTAGCATAAACTTTGGTAGCGTTAACTTAGTCATGTTCTATTGTATCTCCTTATATTAACAGCTTGATGTAATTAGCCAATGTTTATGGACAAATACAATTATGTATTTGTTCACTGACTAGATAACATAACTAAATAAACAGCATTTATTCAGTAATACTACATTTTTGTTAACGGAAACTTATACAAATAGTAATGTTACTTAATGCAGCAAATACTGAACAGCTCACATTCTTCAACAGGCATGTCATTCATGTTTGTAGACTTTTTACTAACATGATTTATCTCTAGCAAAGCATTAGTTGAGGGAATTAGGAACATTGTTGTAAAATGTGCACTACTTCAACACGCTACATTTGTAAACTGACTTACCACTAACCCAACATTATAACTGATGTGTTACTAACATCTTTGGGTTTATTACAAAGCAGTAATTAATGATTTTACTGGATATATATATATATATATATATATATAAATAGTTTGCAGGTTATCTTCGCTATATAATTTGTTTAGGCATTATTGCAAATATTTGGTCTTTAAAGGAAATGGTATAAATCAGTTGTAAAGTAAAAATGTATTTATAAAACAACAATACATAGACACGAGAGATATGTGGATTATAAATATTACATTAATCAGAACAATTTTCTCATCTGTTTCTTCAATTTATCCTTACAGGTTGATCACTCAGTCTTAGCGGGCGTAAAACATCTGCTTTGACTCCTCCGATGTCCACATCTGGGCTGACTCCACAGACGTTTACATCTACACTGTCTTAAATCAACGAATCAACATCCACAATGATTCCACAGGCGTCTCCATCTGCATTGTCTACTTAGACATCAACATCTGCACTGACTGACCAGACATTTATTCACTAAACTCATCAATCACCACCTGATGTGTGTTGAATTATTTTCTGGAATTGTGTCGGATTTCGACAATAGTAGATTTTGACTTTTTATAAGTGATTTTAAATGTATTTTTTTATACATTTATTGTTTCCCTTTCTGGAATTTATTTTGCATTGAAGAAATATAAATGTTTTATTTTATTTTATTAATTCAGCTAAAATATTTCCCAGCTGTAGCTTTTAATAACAAAAATACTGTTACATAAATGGTATAATACACTTTACTGCAGTATAGTAAAGCACTATAGCATGTGTCTGTATAAATTATATTTTTATGTGGAAGACATGTGTAGAAGATACATTTATTTAGTAGTGCATTTGCCAACATATACGTATTTTTTATACGGTATACGGTTTAAGTAATAATACAGTAGTAGTAGGGATGTTAAAAAATGCCTGTCAGCTATAATTTAACATAAAATCGTGGCAGCGACCTAAATCTACCTTTTAAAAATGAGTTTACAGTCCATCTCATGTATATATATATAACGTTTTCACGCGATTGTACTGGACTCCTTTAGTGACCAGAGCGAGCAACAGGTCTTCTTCAAGGTAAGTATAATAACTTGTATATTACCATCCACATTTTCCTAAACTCTGTCTAGTCAGTGATATTGATGAATACTCTCGATTGACTAACATTAGATGAAATATGTGCAAGATATATATATATATATTAGAGATATATATATATATATATATATATATATATAAATAAAACAATACATGTGTTCAAAAGTATGTGCACAGCTGAGACGTGCACAACTGTGTTCTCCATCGCATCTGCATCCAGATTATATTGGTGGACTTACAGCTAATCTGACTGGACAGAGTTTAATACTAGCAGTCGTAACATATTTAGATGGGAAATATGTATGGTAATACACAAGTTATTATACAGTTTCAGTTAACCTACCTTGAAGAAGACCTGCTGCTCGCCATAGCTCGCTCCTGTCACAGAAGGCAAGGCAGTCCATTCCAACCGCTCGAAAATGTAATGGGCGTGGCCAACCGGTGACCTCAATCAAGATGACTAATAGAATAAGGTGTTTCAGAAGATCCCGCCCACTGAGCTGCAGTTTTCAACTCGCAAAACTTTTCAACTCAAAAGCAAAGATTTTAGATTAGCAAAAAATGAAACAAAACCAAAAGCAAAATAAATGAGCACACAGTGCATTAATCTGGTGGTAACCGCATAACATGGCAATAGTTTATTTTTTGTAGTGTGAATTTTTTTAAATAAATGTTTTTTTATTATTTTAAATCTTTAATTTTTTAATTGCATTCTACCTAGTTTTGGTCAAACTTCATATGTTTGTTTGAGTAATAAAGACACAAATTTAACCCCGGCATTCAAGGGTTCAAAACTTTTCAACTCACAAGCAAAATATTTCAACCTGCAAGCAAAGATTCTAGATGTGCAATAAAAGACAGCAGAAAAGAGAGCAAAATTAATGAGTATGCAATGAAAATTGTGGTAACTGCATAATAGGACAAGTGTTTATTTTTGCAATCCAAAATATTTTATTATCATTGACATAAGTTTTTTAAATAAACGTGTTTTTTATTTGAAATCTTTAATTCTTTAATTACAACATACTTAATTTTACTTTAAAACTAAATATTTTTGATTGAATAATAAAAAAACAAATCTAGCTCCATAGAAATGCGGCTAATGACTTGTGATGGCTTTGTAGAGTTTAGATGTTGAAAAATACAGTTCTATGAATCACTAGTGGCTGCTTACCTTTGTCTCTTCTTTAGCACAAGCTGTCACCTCATCCACTGCAAATTCTGTCACAGAAGACAGGAATGTTATTCAGGTTGACAATGAACAATGCCAATATGGCTGTTCATACTAAAGTAAAACATTCCTTTCAGTAAAACTTCAATACATTTTTGGTTTGTTTCCTTGTACTAGTTACAGTTCTAAAACCCTTAAAATAAATATCACTATAGGATAACAAATCCAGAAGACTTAGCAAAAGCCTTATCAACAACACACAGAACACTTAAAAAATAATGTCTATGTTTAGTTAACCATTAAAATAATGCACGATTATGCTGGATATTTCTTTTTTTAAAGGTTGTGCTCTAACAAAGTTAAACTCAGGTTAGTCTGGCTCAAAAAGTGGAGTATGATTCTTATATGTAAGGATTATTTTAAATACTAGCTAACAGGACAATTCATGATCTCAACTTTACCTGTGCATCCAGAGTATCTGTCACTTTTATCCCCCTGCAAGCACAAGTGTGATAATCAGTCAAACATCATGCTCTAACATTACCTTATACTGTCATTACAACTGCAATACTGTAGTATAATTTGACAATAATTAAATATTCAACACTGTGAAATAAGACTAGACATATTCATGACATTTGACTGAAAATTAGCATTTTTTTAATCTAGAAAACTCCCTTATAAAACTAGAAATATTGTACTGAATTAATTTAAATTGTCTCTTGCATTACTGAAGAACAACATTCCTATTTTTGTGGATAAAAGTAAATAGATTTTGCCTTGCCAGAGGCCTGCTGCACGTGCAGGCCGCTAACGTTAACAATAACAAAAATGATCAAAACATCTTGGTAAAAATATGCAGTCTGGCAAGAACATGAATTCAAACAATATTTCAAAAGTAAACGAAGATTACACGTAAATGTACGCAAATACAGTAAACGTTTAATGTACAGTTAAATTGCAAAATCTCTTAGCAATTCCAACGTTTGGCTTAAAACGCGATCGTAAGAATCTAACTTTAACGTTACAGTTAAAGTTACCCTAACTAATATTATTGTCAGTTTGATACATTAATCTGTACTTTCTGCAAAGCAGCTTCGAGATTATGCCGATTATCAAAAGCGCTTGAGACATAAAATAACGCGATTTTTATTATATAATATAGTTGCAAACAATACATAAACATAAACATTCGAATATATTGAAGTGATCGTACAAATCATAAACTTACCTGTCCTTCAGACATGTTGACGTCTTCGCGCCTTTACTCACAGCATCCTCTCTGACCCTGTCCTGCTGTGTCGCAGGTGTGTGTGTGTGGGGGGGGGAGGGGATGGTCGCGGTGGGGACGCAAAATCTCCGGTCACGTGTAATGTCACACACTCTCCCGCGCTGCTTTAGCGCGGGTCGCCGACTGAACCGCGGTCTGGCGCATGCATACACAGCGGATGGCCTTCAGCAGCAATCCAGCACTGACAGCTCTAAAGTGTCAGTCGAACTTTTACTCGAAATTATTCAGCTTATTACCCGAACATATTTGCTCTAACTAAATAAATGCATTATGGTTAAAGGGAATTTTAATAGCTTAACGAAAAAAAGTTATAATTAAGATACAAAGAACCCCCTTATTATTAAATGCTGTATTCTGACAACACATAAATAAATGGATCCCATTTAGAACTATTAAAGAATTCACAAAAAAAAAATTCATTAACTATTACAAACACTTGTAATAAATAAAGGCATTCAATCCTGCTGTCAGGGTGTAAATAATACAACATGTGTTTTATTATGTTTCCATTCATTCATTCATGTTTATTCCCTGATTGGGGTCGCCATAGCGGAATAAACTGCCATTATGTGTCCATTATGTTTTATTATAATACCAACATTTGGTAATTTAACATTTTGGACCACATAAATGTATTAGATGTGATGCATTGACCATGCACACCTACATACATCCATTACTTTATTATTAAAAGGGAATAAACTACTTTTTATTACAACTTATCTGAAGATCATTATCAAAACTCTTTAATATGTCCAGTCAATTTAATATGAGCATGTAATACCATCTAACTACATCTTTATGGTATTCTTTAAGGCAAACAGGCCTAAATAAATGCAAGGCCCTTAAAATGGTTTGTTCATCTTCAACTACTGATACCAGCACATCACAGGCCTATCTAATAGAAAGTGTGGCAAAATGAAATGGTTTGTGGGAATATTCCTGAGCAGGTATAATAGCTTACGTGATGGTAGCTCCAGAGAGCCTCACAGCACCTACACTGCTCTTAAAGAGAGTCTAGCAGCAGAGCGAGTGAAGCAAGAGTGTGGAGGGGTTGTTGCTGGATCAGATACGTTTGTGGCCGGAAGTTAACGAATATGATTTATATTATCTATTAAATTACCCAATAAATAGTATTTCATTAATGTCTACAACCACCCTAACCGTCACAGTACTGTAAAAATATAAATTATTGTTATACAGTGTCATAAAAAATGCTTCTGTATTGATGTGTATTTGCAGTTCCGGCCGGCCTTGTATCCTATCTACACTTTACTGTGTGGAGGGAGAGAGCTGACATCTAAAGATGGCCTCATACTGTAGGTCCATGAACCTGATTCTTCCTGCTAGTTTCAAATTATTTCAACACAACACCAGAAGTAACTGAAGTTGTTTACTGTTATTAATGTGTTATTTAAAAGCACAGTTTACTTAGATACTTAGAAGTGATTGAAATGAAAGGTGTAAAACAGAACAGAAAGTGATTCAGAGCTGTTGTTCTCCTTGATGTCCTGAGAAACAGTCTGTATTAATTTTGAAGCTCATTAACGGCATCCTTAAAATAAAAGCAAACTATCTCTCTTTTCACACTTAGTTGTAATGTTCCAGACAAGGTCTGAAACCATGTCAGCACTTCTGTTGCTACTGCCTTCTCTTAAGCTAGATCCACCTTTAGGATGGCATAAAAGTGTCTTCCATAATTTAATACTCCCATAATTCTTGAAAGAATATACAGAAATCCTTAACTTAGAAATAAAATGTTTTATGTATGTAAATCTACTGTACATGTAAATTCCCATAGACTATTGTGATAAAGAGACATTGTTCATTATTTCCAGGATTTATGTAACCCTTGTGAGGGTAAAAAACCATAACGATTTGGTCCCTGTAGACATTTAACATTTGGAATCACAGAAGTCAATGTGCTGCTCTGTTTATGGCAGAAGCCCATCATGTCCAGGCACCTGATGTAAGAAGTACTGGCCCTCTTGAAGCAGATGCTATATCCATTAACAGCTCTGCTAAAAGGACTAAGCTAAAACTTGTGTACTGTGATGACCGGTCCTGCACTTTGGCCTTTTTGCTGCTCCTTGTGTAACGCAGACACTATAGCATGCTTGAATCAGCCATTGCCCCTATACTTGCTCATTCCCTATAGCAGCCCTGTCTTGATGCTGGAACAGGTTTTTAAACTTTATTCAGATCTATTTATTTCACATTGTTCACATGCTTAAACTTCACAAAGACAGATGTAGCCTACTGTAGCCGACCAATTCAACCTAACAGTAGGTCAAAACTTAATTTTTTGACCCATGTTTATTAGTAACATGGTTCAGCCGGGCCAGGTATATTCTGTTTATGTTCTGTGTTCTCGCATCATTCATTCTTCCAAGCTAACCTGGCTATAGGTCTCCATAAGGACACAAGTCTGTTCTCTGTGTTCTCATTTACAGTCAATAGTGATTTTCTCATTAAAGTCTGAAGGAAGAAATAAACCCTGTGTTTATTTTAATAAAATGTAGGCTAATCTAGGCAAAGCCAAACTTTAGTTTTTTAAATATAGATGCATACAGTAATACCATTGCATATGAACTGAGTATTACAATAAACCACACTAAAATATTTTAACCTAAACTGGTAATGTATTAATGCAAGAGTGAAATACTGGCTATGCTCCTTTTGATTTATTTATCAATAATGGATATTTATATCCTGAACACATAATGGATATTTGGAATCTGTTGTTAGATCTACAATAAATTGCATAAAGAGCATATTTTTTTAACATATCTAATATATTCTAATCAGTTGATGCCTTGTAATGTAATGTATTAAATAGTTTTTATGCTGGTCCATCAACAGTTAATGTAATAATTGAAGACAAGTAAGGGGGCGCTATAGAGTGGAGACAAAGTGACACACTTTTCCAGAACAATGACGTGGTGGGGACTGCAATATTCTGTGTGACCCCCAGGGGCGCATAGATACACAGTCACACAGAATATTCTCTTGAAAATGATCCCCAAGAGGACATTGGAGAAAATGCATGGGGTGTGTTCTAACACCATTTGGGAGGGGCTAGTGAGGCTTTGCCCGTGGGGACCTCAATTTAGGTCCCCACGGTGACATGAGTCCCCATGAGGCGGTGTGCATTCAGGTTTAAGTCCCCACCGGGATATAAAAACAAGAACACACACACACACACACACACACACACACACACACACACAAACACACACACAAACACACACCTCCGGACGACAGCGCGCGCACACGCACACACAGACACACACACTACTCCTCGTCCACGGAGCTCCGTTAACAAAGCAGCACGCGTCGCGTTTTTAACGTGACTTTGCACGCGATAAGAGAATATAGCCAGTTAACCTGATACAGTACACGCGGTTACAAGTAACAAATCACAACTAAATACATTTGCAAGCTGGAGTCAATGAGGCAACTTTAATCGCACGTACTTACACTTGAGAAATGGAGGAAGAAAAATCCATCCTGACGTCCATCAGTAAGTTACTCTTTACTGATCCTTCCTTTAACAAACGCTGATGAAGTATTCTTTGTAGCCTGTAGTTTCCAGAAGTTTCCAGTAGTTTCCAACTGCTTGGCTATAATGCTGAGGTTTCATCTTTGGGTAGAGACTCAATATATTCATCTGCAGTGTGACTTCAATCGACCGGCATGTTTGTGTGTGTGTGTGTGTGTTTGTGGGTGTGTGTGTGTGTGTGTGTGTGTGTGTGTCTGGGTTTCTGCGTCAGAGGGCGGGGCCTCAGGTTTGAAATCTCCCGGGTTTGCGCGTGCACGTGAATAACTTGGTTTTGTTCGTACGTCATGGCGAAACACCTAATGAATCGGTATCAAGGCGACTCGTTTGAAGCACTATGAGTCAACTCTTTTATAGATGAATCAACAGTTTTAAACACTGTACACTAACAGATTTAAACCTTAGCTGGATACTTCACTTCACTTAGAGCTGTGTTTGTTACACACTACATGGAGGGGAATTTTCAAAAACCCATAATATGGGCTCTTTAATGACGATCAAAAAGGAAAGTTGTAGGCAGCAATGGCATTATTTAACCAATAGGTGGCGACAACCAGAAATATTCCACTGAATAATTCTTCAAAAATGACTCATCTATCAATAAAACGGAAGTTTTATAAGTTAATAACTGAATCATTTAATGTAAAAGAGACTAAAAATAAATATGGGTGGTACAAATTACAATTTTAGGTTTTTACATTTAACGGTATCAGCAACAGTAACAGTGAATTTCTCACAGTACTGAATATTGTACAATTTATTTTTAATCACCTGATTATTTCTCCATTTTATTTGTATTAAAATTGCAGGTTCTTAGTTCTGTTTATGTGTTACAGAGACAATAGAGCCGTTCTTTGAGGAGACAGAAACAGATCTTCAGGCCGGTGGTCAGTCAGCAGAGGTAAAGATTAAGTGAATCTGCTTTTAGAATTTTCACAGAGTTCATGGACTGAAATGTTGTCTGTTTCTGTAGTCGGACTCATGGTGGGACACCTTCGCATTTTGGAACTGGGGATCAGAGGATAAACTGGAAGACTTTAAAAAGAAAAGAGCAGCTAGACCGAGATACGATGGAGAGAGGCTCAGACCACACAGAATCCACAACAAAGAAATGGCTAAAGGATTACTCAAGGAGAAAGAATAACCTGCAATATTCCTGAAAGGATGGGGAAAAAATAAAAAAATAAATAAATAGTACATACAATTAAGAATTGGTCAAAGGTTTCAAACATGTTTCATGACGTGATGTTTTAAATGTTTTTGATTGAAGTCTTTTCTACGCACAGAGGCTGCATTTATTAATATTTTATTTCATAAAAAATACAGTGAAGACGAATTCTGAAATCTTTTTGTATTATAATTAGATATAACAATATATTGTATACATATGATACTTATCTAAATTGTGGATTATATATATATATAAACACCTATAACATTTTTACATTTATTCTGATAATTTTACGAGTCATTGTGAAAGCATTTACAATCCATTATATGTAGAAGTGACATTCATTATATATAAAAGTATAAAAGTGACACATGGAAAATTTGTGTAAATATGACAAATATTCAAATAGCTAAATATTTTATAAGCTCAGCACAGACACAAATCTAAGATCACAGTTAATTTTTGGCTACAACAAAAAGTGGTTTACTTTAATTGTCACCAAATATGGCTTATGTTCCCTCAAATTACCTAATTTACACTTCAAATGACATGTTCGTTTAAATACATTTTGAAATATTATGTAAATTAAAAGGATAGTAAGTTAGCCATCACTTACTTGCTCTCAAGTTGTAATAACAATACTTTATGGAAATAGGTTTATTTTATAAGTCATCTAGAGTTAAACTGTTTCTAAATCCATCCAGCCAATCTCGGGTCTGACAGTAGCACTTTTAGCTTAGCGATAGCATAGATCATTGAATCAGATTAGAGCATTCGTCGCCTCAGAATTATAAGGATGTATCTGATATTTTTTTGTCAAATTTGAGTTACTGACATATTCTTATTAAATGACAACTTATTTACATTATGGGATGTTTTTTATAAGTTGTTTACATTTTAAGGCTTTTTATTTAAAAGCAAATGTTACACACATACTGTTTGCTATATGGAATGCAAAAAAATTGAAGCTTAATATCTTAAAATCATTCAGAACCCAGATAGACCCTTATAATTCCAAGGTGACACATTAGCATCTCGCTCTAAAAAATGCAAAAAAAAAAAAAAAAAAAGAAAAAAAAAGTGTTTTGATAATTTTCCTATTTAAAGCTCAACTCTTCTGTAGTGGCGTTTCATGTTCTAAGACTGGCAGAAAATGAAAAGTTGCTATTTTCCAGGCTGAGCTAGGAACACTCATTCTGGCATAATTATCAAGGAATAGAAAGTTGCTTAATTATTAACATTTCATTTAAGGTTGGTTTTGGAACACAATGTACAGATTCCTCAAGCTTTAAATAGGACAATTATCAAAACTTTTTTTGGAGCAAGATGCTAATGGTCTAATCCGATTCAATTATTTATGCTAAGCTAAGCTAAAAGTGCTCCTGCCAGACACAGAAATTAGCTAAACAGATTCAGAAATGCTAAAATAAACGTTTTAACTCTATGGGGTTATAAAATGAGCTCTTTTCCAAATAAAAAACTAAGGAGTTGTTTTCATTTTTTGTGTGAACCATCTCTTTACAAACAAAAACAGCTGTAGATTTCATTGCCTTAAAGCTCGTCAGCGGCATTCGCACTTGGTCGCCACCACGTTGGTCTTGTAGGAGATGTTGGTGGTCTCGCTCTCCAGCTCAATCACACACAGATCGTCGTATTCCACAGGGACGCAGCATAGCGAGCGGTTCACCGGCTGCCCGCTCTGGATGTGGCTGTTCAGCAGGACGGCATGGTTGTTGGCGTTGTTCAGAGGAAAGCCGCAGGTTCCTTCGCAGTTGTTGATGTTGGCTCTGGACGGCTCCAGGAAGAACTTCCTCAACGAGACGCTCAGGCTTTGAAGATGACACTGATTGGATGCTGATGGTCCGTCTTCATCAGCTCTCGCTGCTCGCTGGGCTCTTTCTGACTCCCAGTTACTGAGCACCATCTGCAGGGCTTTCAGGAGCAACACTGAACGGTACTGAGCCTCTTTGTGGTCCTTAGTAGCTAAACATGTATTACATTTACAGACAAATATATTAGCCATCCAGTGAATTAAAACAATATAAATATATATATATATATATATATATATATATATATATATATATATATATATATATATATATATATATATATATATATATATATATATTTTCAAAACTCTGTTTAACACACATCCTTTGAACATAATAGTTTTAATAGCTAATTTCTAATAATTTGTTTTTTCTTTCCTATAATGACAGTACATAATATTTTCTTTTAGATATTTTGCAAGACATTAGTATTTAGCCTAAAATCCAATTTAAAGGTTACTTCCTAGCCAGCATTTTTGGTCTTTTGAAAATGTCCAACAGATAGGTCTATCTAATAGACGTCTAAACATAGTCATCTTGTCTAAAGGCTAAATTTGGGATGTCAGTGAAAATCTAATAGATGTCTGGGAATAAGCCAAAACTATACTAGTCTAGACTACAAATATAAAGTCTTAGACGTCTATTAGATTTTCACTCAAGTTTTGTCTTGTTTTGGCCCAGCTGTCTACGTTTAGATGTCTATTAGATGTTTATTAAACACAAAATTGTTTTCTGGGTTGGGTTAACTAGAAGAGTTAGGTTAATTAGGGAAGTCATTGGAAACGTGATCTATCCTGCCCTTTTAATATATACATATATAAACTAAACAAAATAAGACTTTCTAAAGAAGAAAAATTTATAGAAAATATTGTGAACATTTTCCTGCCAGTTTGGTCAAACATTTTGTTTTAGCTATACAAAGCCTAATGTTTTACACTGGACTGGTTTTAAAAATCTTAATGTAACCATGATTATAGCACCAGGAAAATACAAGTTAGTAAATTTGTAGTCTGTATAAGTCAGATTAAAACATAAATACTTTAAATGTAAAATATCTGTGGGTATACATATGCTATTGAATATTATATAATGTTGCTGTATTTAGAGAAAAAAATATGTTAATTCAATTAATAAAAATAAAACTTTTTTTTAATTATTTTTCTGTTTTTTTCTTGACTTATTTCTGAATTTATGTATGTTTTATAATGAAATTGTGAAAATGCCCTAAATTATTGATGATTTCTTAGCTATATCATCCAGCCATAGTAATATGCATAGAAATCTTTTTTTTAAATTATAATTTATAATAATAAAATAAAAATTGTATAAAATACAATAAAAATAATATAAAATAAAATAAAAAATAAAATAAAATATAAACATAACATAAAAATATAAAATACAATAAAAACAATATAGAATAAAATAAAATAAAAATATAAAATAAAAATAATATAAAATAAAATATACAATAAAATATAAATGAAATAATATTAAATAAAATTAAAGATCAATAAATAAAATAAAATAAAAATGTAATAAATAAAAAAAATACTAAAAAAATTAAAATAAAATAAATCCTCACCTGCTTCACTGTCCTCTCCATCTGGAGAAAGCGCACTCAGTTCAGTCAGTTTCTGCAGTCTGTCAATCATCTTCCGGCCTGCCTCCTGCTGTTTGACCTGAGCCATGGCTTCATCCAGTCTCATTCTGAGTACAGACAGTAAAGGGGAATCGAGGGTCACCTCCACCCGGTGGGTCTGCAGGCCCTGCTGTCTCTGGGGGAACACAAATACAGTCGGCGTGGAGGAATTGACCAGTCCTGAAAGCAGCGACTCTGTGGATGACACTCCAAGGCGGAGAGGTGGAAGAGAATGCAACGTATCCAAAGAAACTGCGCTGGGGTCATCCTGAGGTGTAGTACTTTTGCTCTGAGGCAGGATGTCCCTTAAGAACTTTTGCAGCTCACAGAGGAAAAGATACGTTCGGGATGGGAGCCTCTCATCCTGTGGAATTCTGAAGGGGGAAAAAGAAAAGTTACAAAAGATCTGCATGAAATCTGTGCCCACGGAAAAAATGTTATATGTACTAGTGCTGGGGAATAATTAATAGTGATTAATCGCATCCAAAATAAAAGCTTGTTTTGGAAATTTGTAGTGTAGTACTGTTATTATGGGTGCAAATTATACATTGGCGATCAAGTGGATCGACTTTTTTGGTAAGTTTTTTTAGTGAATCATTTATCTATTTATTTCAATTACATCATTTTTTCATAAGACATATCTAAATTTTCTGGTGCCGCGGTGCACAGTAGGTAGTGCTGTTGCCTCACAGCAAGAAGGTCGCTGGTTCGAGCCTCGTCTGGGTCAGTTGGCGTTTCTGTGTGGAGTTTGCATGTTCTCCCCGCGTTCGCATGGGTTTCCTCCAGGTGCGCCGGTTTCCCTTACAGTCACCATGTGGTACAGGTGAATTGGGTAGGCTAAGTTGTCCATAGTGTATGAGTGTGAATGAGAGTGTATGGATGTTTCCCAGTGATAGGTTGCAGCTGGAAGGGAATCCGCTACATAAAACATATGCTGGATAAGTTGGCGGTTCATTCCGCTGTGGCGACCCAGGATAATAAAGGGACTAAGGCAAAAAGAAAATGAATAAATGAATCCAAGTTTTCAGTGTTTTAAAGGATATTTAATGTAGTCTGACCAAGCGGAGAAATACGGAAGTAACTGAAACTGCAATTCATCAGCTTGTCTTTGGGGGGCTGGCTCCAAGAATTCCAGATGTTCACTGACTGCAGTACTAAATTGGCCAATTTTACAACTGATAAAAACATGTTTACAGCTGGTACAAAAGATGGTTTTAATGCATATAGCTAATATTACCCGTCATGACAACTGTGAGGGGGTGAATTTTTCAAATAAGTTCATAAGTTTCATTTTTATTAAGTTATATTAAGTCTACTTAATTAACGGCATGGCCACTTGAGTGACAGCTAGGTCCCGCTGGTCAGTGTCTTTTCACCTCATCTGATTCTGGCTGATTAGGTCGCTGAACTCATCATTAATATTGTCTTTTTGTTTTGTGTGACTTTACAGTCAATTGCCTTTGGGATTATTTCTTACAACTATCAGATACTATAGCATGCTGTGTGCATTTTAGTGTGCTCACAAACTATTCAAGCTTCCTCCATTTCCCAGGTGAGTGAAATTCTTGCATATTTATCATATCCATAAATGTATTTGTTTTACTTAAGATAATTTATCATTTATCTTTTTTTTTTTAACTGTAAAGCACTTCAGAATCTGACAGATTGATTAGCTGTAGGCTCTAGAGCAGTCATCTGAAACACTGTCTAATGCTTGGATTTCATAAATAGCCTTGCATTTACTAACACAGATTATATTTGTCTTATAATTATGCTAGCAGGCGTCTGTAGCTCCGCCTCTTTGCCCTTTTTTTGTTGACCCCGGTCGGTGCAATGATGTGTTAACAAAATGGCGATGGTTGGCCATGCCTACTTGTAACTTCTCTTCAGAAACCTACGGGTGACGACATGGATACTACGCCCATATCTTTTACAGTCTGTGATTCTGCACAGTAACCTCTGATTATTACAGAGGTTACTGTAGCTTAACCTATTTGAACTATGTGTCTAATTTTACTTTACTTTTAGACTTTATGTAAACACAAACACCTATTTTACAAAGTTTTTATTGTGTGACACCTTACGCTATCCATCACTGCTCTTGATCTGCTGATTTAGACTGTTGAATGCTTCTGCTAAGACTGATTGGCAGCTCATGCACCCCTATAACTGTATGAAACAGTATAGAGGTGGTCAAATGTATATTTGATTTACCTATTATTTTAATTATCAGAGTTATTATTTAAGATACAGGACAGGGAAAACTATTTCTCTGTATTAAAGAGCTGACCCCCCATACATCTTGTTTTCACGTCCTTCAGGGGGATCAAGCATTAATTATGGGGGTTCATCTCCCCTAAACCCCCCTGTAATTCTGTTACAGTCACCAGCAATCCAGACACTGCAGGTTGCTGGAGAACTACAACTCTGCCACCAAATGGACTACAAATCACAGCATGCACCGCACACACACACCGGTTCATAATCTCATATGATTGCAAACATTCACAGCTGAAGCTGCTTAAGGACTCCTTACACAGACTTATACATCACATTTGCTGACACACATTGCTGAGTGTTATTTGTTTGTTTTGTTAGTCAAACAAACCTGTAACTTTATAAACTGTTTCATTTCTATGTCTAGCCATGTTATTTGATATTCTTTGTTTATTATACCTTTCTCCGATTTTGACCATTTGCCTGTTCATCAACGACGACTTCTGGATTATCTGTATGAACCCGAATGCTCCTGTGTTGACCGTTGCCTGCCTGACAGACCCTTTTATTGAATAAATCTGCATTTGGATTAGCTTCTCTGTGAAAGCCTCCTTCCGTTACAAATGTGCACCCTGTATATAAATTGAGAAAGTTTACTTATATTTAGATGTAAAATATTTGTGTATATGATACAAGTTATATATGAAATGTATTATATCTCTGTAACAAAATTGTTTTGCATAGTTTTCTTTCTGTTCATGTGTGTGTATGTATCAGATATACATAATAAATATAACACACACACATAAGTTATGCCAAAACAAACCTTAATTTAGGATGTGATTAATCTTTGCCCAGCCCAAATAATACTTTTATAAGACGCTAAACATTAATACAGTAAATTACATTAGTCAGTACCAAAGCCAAAAATGCAATTTATTTAACAAAATAATTTTAATACACATTATGAAACATACTGTACTGCACATGAAATATACAAAAAGACATTAACAATACTATCATAGATATAATTACAATGTTATAATAAAGTAATTACATAGTAATTATAATGTTATGATAATGTAATTATATAAAAACGAAAAGTTTGTAATTACACATGTACAGCAGATATTTACATATAAATACAAAAATGCTGTACATGAAATATACAAAGAAACTAAGTTTGTCAATATGATCTTGGATCTAGTTACAGTGCCATAGCAATGTAATTACAATGCAATGAAAGAGTAATTATGTTTGTAATAACATGTGTATTGTGTATATTTAAGTACACAACTACACATAACCAATACTGTACATGCAACATTTACATTTTTTAAAATATTATCTTGGATGTAACTACAATTTAATGACACAGTAAATGCACACAAGATAAAAGTTTGTGATTATATATTACATGTGTAAGAACTATAAATACACGCTGTACATGAAATATACAAAGAAACACATTGATAAATATTATCTGGGATTACAATGTGATAGCAATGTAATTAAATTCAAGATAATATTTTGCAATATCATTACGTGTATTGTTTATATTTACGTAAATAACTATAAATATGCAAATACAGTAAACGAAATATACAAAAAAAAATGTACGTTTATAAGTATTATCTTGGATGTAACTACAATATATCTACAATGTAATCACAATGTAACGTCAGTATTTGCACACATGGACAAAAATGTTTTTAAATCCAGATTAAAGTTTGTAATTACATATTACATCTGCACTGTGCATATTTAAGTATATAACTATTACACACTGTACATGAATTATACAAACACAATGGTGAATATTGGATGTAATTACATCCAAAATAAAAGTTTGTAATTACATATTACATGTGTACTATGTATGTCTATATAACTATAACACAAATACATGAATACATTTCAAATTACATGAAATATACAGACATTTACAACACTATCATAAATGTAATTACAATGTTATCACATAGTAATGGACCCTTCGCTAAGCCCCGCCCTCCTTAGTTACTGTTGCTGCGCCTGTCAAGCTTTCGTGCCTGGCATGCTTTTTCAATGTGTGTGCGCCGGTGTCAGACATTGCCAGGGATATGATGTCATTTTTGGCAAACAGGTGAGATATCAGAGAAAGCCAGACAAAAAAGGACTGCAGAATGCATTACAGGGGTATATTCAAGGAATAATAGGCAACCGATTAGAGAATAAATCAATTAAAACTGAAGCTAGCTTAGCCTAGCCGCCTCATACGCTAACCATTCAACAGCTTAGCTCATGCTCAGCAGGAGAGGTGAAATTTAAAAATAATCTAATAATAACAAATTAAACCGTGATTTCTCTTTTTTAGCCAAAAAGCCTGATAGATTAATTGTTGTGCAATGAAATATAGTGTTACTAACCGACGTTACTAACCTAATATAGCGTTACTAACAGCCAGAAAGGGAAACTGATGGATTTGTGCCGAATATTAGCATCATTGACCCATAACAATGTACAGTAAGTTACCTATAACTGTCAGTGTGTGTGTGTGCTCTTCATATATGACTGAAAAACAGCTGCGGGTGAAGTATATTGATTTCAAGTGCTCAGTTTGTGATCATATCTCGGTTTTGTTCTGTTGATTTGTAATTTCAAATATTCGTAGCTTGAAACAGATGTAAATATAAAGTTCAGTAAAGTTAGCAACAGATTCGCAGATTTGCATTTTCCTGATCATTAACTCATGTCATTATGACCTATGTTACTAAGTTATGTAACTAAGTATGACTAAGTTACTAACGTTATGGCGAAGGATTAAACGAAGCATTACTTAAAATATCGAGCAAAAAAAAGGAATAGATGTGAAACATAACCAGCTTAGTGTTTTTGTAGGAAACACAGTTTAGATCTGTTTAGGGTAAGAGATGTGTGAGTTATTGCCGTCTGTCTGTCACTGAATGTGTCAGCAATATCAAAACAAAACCAACTTAACTCCGCTCCTTTAGCGCCGCTCACACAGCTTGATCCACACTGACATTTCTACTCTTGGTGACTTGCTCCCGAATCTACCCCTTCTATCTGTCTGTTGCTTACTTTATACGTGATGATTAATTTCCATCCATACTCTAAGCATTGATCAACTTCTTCAGTATTCTTTAATATTCTAGTCTTATCTCAAGCCTTGGCAAATAACTGAGAAAGCACCAATGTAGACTTCTTACAAAGTATTTACAGTGTTTTAAAAATAAAAAAATACAAGGCACTAAGGTATTTTGATACAAAATATTCAGCCGTTTTCATAAACCCCATTCAATACAAATGAAAATACGATTTTGTCTTTAAAATACATATTTAAAATCCGCTTAGTCCCTTTATTCATCAGGTATAGCCACAGCAGAATGAAGCACCAACTTATCCAGCAGATGTTTTAGACAACGGGTGCCCTTCCGGCTGCAACCCATCACCAGGAAACACCCATACACTCTCATTCACACAAATACACTATGGACAATTTTTTAGCTAACCAAAATCACCTATAGGACATGGCTTTGGACTGTGGGGGAAACCATCCAAACTCCACACAGAAATGCCAACTGACCCAGCCGGGGCTCAAACCAGCGAGCTTCTTGCTGTGAGGTGACAGCACTACCTACTGCGCCACAGCACTGCCATATATATATATATATATACATACACACACACACACACACACACACACACACACACACACACACACACACACACACACACACACACACACACACACACACACACACACACACACACACACACACACACACACACACACACACACACACACACACACACATCACAGATATTATAAATTCTGCTCAGAAACAGCAAAAATGTCAGACGCTTTGGCAATCATCCTAACCAATGGTAAAATAATCAAGCAAATCACTTACCGATGATGTTTTAAACGAGGCTCCTCAAGGTCAGAGAGGAAAAGTAAAACTGGCTTGATCATCGTACTGCTGCTATCCACCTTTCTCATCAACACTTCTTTAAGTTCAGACACACTGAGTTTTGGCCCTAAGATGGAATAAAAAGACTTCAAAATGTTGATAGGATTAAAGAGACAAGTCTGTTTTTAAATAGGAAACGGTCTCACTGTTATCATCCATCGATGTCTCAACCATCGTCTTCAGTTTAAGGTGAATGTGGCCATGACTCCATCCTCCGGTGACAATCAGGAAACGTGTGGACTCAGAAATGCAAACAGTCTACAAGGAAAATACATCATGACAATTTAAAATAATACAAATCAAACTGGGCCAAGAGTGTGATGCTATAAAGCTGTTGACAGTCAGAATTATTAGCCCCCCTGAATTATTAGCCCCTGTTTATTTTTTTCCCCAATTTCTGTTTAACGGAGAGAAGATTTTTTTCCCACACATTTCTAAACATCATAGTTTTAATTACTTATTTCTATATGATTCTTTTATCTTTTCCATGATGACTAAATATTTGACTAGATATTTTTCAAGACACTACTATTCAGCTGAAAGTGACATTTAAAAGCTTAACTATGTTAATTAGGTTAACTGGGTAGGATAGGGATTAATAATAGGGCAAGTCATTAATGATTAGGCAAGTTATTGTATAACGATGGTTTGTTCAGTAGACTATCAGAAAAAATATTAAAGAGGTTAATAATATTGACTTTAAAATCGCTGTCAAAAAAATTCAAAACAGCTTTTATTCTAGTCAAAATAAGACAAAAAAAACTTTCTCCAGAAGAAAAAATATTATCAGACATACTCTGAAGATTTTCTCGCTTTGTTAAACATCATTTGGGAAATATTTAAAAAAGAAAATTTCAGAGGGGGTTTAATCTGATTTCAACTGTAATATAAACATCATTATCATGAGTATTAATTAGCAAATGAACTTGCTCGACTAATTGACATACACTGCAAACAACTTCCTGCTGCCTTATTTTTTTAGTTTCGCAACTTCAATCAAACTGACTAAAACTATTAAGCTAAACTTTGTATAACTTAAAAAAAACTAGTTTAAACCTGATTAAATTATTAAAATAAGTTAAAGCAACATAAAATATTTGTTCTCTTGGCTTTTTTCAAAAAACGTTTAGTGTACTAAAAATACTGTACTGAATAGGTGTTTATTACCCAGCAGGCAACTGATGTCAAAACAAATGCGTGATAAAAATGCTAATCGATTTGATGTGATTTGAAAACAAAACACTGTACTTTTGATGCCAGTGTTAGATGTCAAATTAACCTATTTATACTCATTTTTTAAACGGTTTCATGCATGTAGTATTGTAAATGATAAACAAACTTTGCATTTTGTTTCTCCAGTTTTTTTTTTTTTTTTCAAGAAAATCATATTTGAATATGCGGCAACTATAGTTACCCGTGGGCAAATATGCTGTAAGAACCCTTCAATATAAAATTTGAATAGGAAGAGAACATTTGTCATTCTAACTCAAATTAACTGCTTTCAAAAGATCAAGTCATGTTCATAAATACATTTATCATGATTAAAATTGGAAAAACATATAAAATAAACCCTAAAAATGATTTGTCATATAATTTCATGAATATGAAACATACACTCGTTTCTGTGTCAAAAAGATAAATAAAGAACTTTTCAGTAAATCTTACTAGAGACCTTTGTAGACATCTGACAGAAATAGACAGCTTAGTAATAAGTAAAGCTGCAGATTCTGTTTGTGGAGTTGTTTAATGATCCTGATGAGCTGAGATTGTAAGAGTTTTCAGTCCCTAAGGCCATGTACACTTTTGCACAGGTATTTTTGGAAACAAAAAAAATGATTTTTCTCAATTTTCTAAAAAAACAGACCCTGGTGCTTTTTAAAATCTTCACCCTGACAAGCGTTTTCAAAAAAAATGGGTTACAGTGACCTTTTTGTTTAAAAATATGTTGCAATTAAAACAAAACCCATGTTTGTGTGGACAGCTGGGCCTAAGGATGTGACTGAATTTGGGTGTAGTTTTGTGTTTTTCTTCAGTGATTCTGCTTTTTAATGTTGTTTTGACATCAAGGTAGTTTACATGCATTGTCGGGACGCAAAATCAAGTGTAAATATATAAGTTAAGCTTTCAAATGGATACAACTACTATTATGATACTTAATGTGTTTTACTTTAGAGGTCAAACAAGCATCAATGTGTAGACGTCAAGGTTTTCACACTGAATCAGTTTGCAATATGTTACAGTATATATGTATATGAAAATATGTTGCCATCTTTTTGCACCATCATTTCCAGCCAATAAAGTAACGCATATACCTGTGTATTTGGATGGATGGATTGACTGTTGAATTGCACTCTCAAACTGTCTCCTTTAACAGGATTGACACTGAACAGGAGCATCACAGAGGCCGGACCGGCCGGTAGGGAATGCTTTGGGAACGTGAGGGTTAAAGTGATCCCTCCTTCGTTATCAGCATCCCAAATATCTAATAAAAAATAATCACAGATCAACTAAAAGCAGCATCCACTGCATAAAACATTTAATCAGTGTAGAATTTTATTTACCTTCTGTAGCATGCACACCCTTGAGGCCACTTTGTTTTTGGAGCACACTCTGAACCAGATGAGAAACCTGCGAACTTTGAGTTTCAGGTGAACATGTTCCCACGAAGTCCATTTTCCCCAGTTCCCCAGCACTTTTCAGGGCTGACAGGAACTCATTCAGTGTTTTTTGTTCTTTATTGAATGGTGTGTCTTCAGTGGCATATTGGTCAGTTGGCTGTTGACGGTGTACACATGCCAAATCCCTGACCTCCAGCTGATCTCCATTCAATTCTGTTGGTCAGTTAAGCAAGCATTAAAAACATGCGTTATACCTAAAGTTGTCCTTCCCCATTTGGAGAGATGACAAACAATGAATCACCCAATAATGAAAATTATATTTTTATTTACTCGCCCTCATGTCTTTTTAACACCCTGACAAATAAGTTCATCTTCGGAACACAAATTAAGATATATTATTACAAAAAAGGAGGCAAAAACATTGTTAAACTTTTCACGTGACTTCAGTGGTTCGACTGTAATTATATGAAGCTCCAAAAAAACCCAAACCCCTAATACACAGATATGTTAGAGAAGGTATTGAACAAAGTTGTTTTAAAAGATTGTTTGGTGTGCAAAAGTGTTCTTGGAGCTTCGTTTGATTATAGTTGAACCACTGGTTACAGAAACATTTTAGTCTTTTTGGTTCTTTTTCTGAAATTTAAACTTATCTGGAACATCACGGCCTATGGATGATTTTATATTAAAAAAAATCTTCATTTGTGTTACAAATATCTTGACGGATTGTAAACAAAATGAGAGCGAGTAACTAAAAAGACAACATTGATTCTTGGGTGAACTAACACTTTAATCTCAGCATGTCTATCCCTGGTGCAGGGCCACCATCCAGTGAAGCACAGGTGTCAAACTCAATTCCTGGAGGGCCACAGCTCTGCACAGTTTAGGTTGAACCCTATTTAAACACAGCTGATCAAAGTAATTGAGTTCTTCAGGCTTGTTTGAAACCTACAGGCTAGTGTGTTGAAGCAGGACTGCGGCCTTCCAGGAACTGAGTTTGACACCCCTGCAGTCGAGATTAGCTTTGACACTAATTCAGGGGCTGTATCAGTTGTAAACCAGCCTTGACAAAAACCTCCCTGCTTTCTTTTAACACAAACACCTGTATTAGCATATTCAGGTGTGTTTGATTAGTGTTGGAACAAAACTTGCCAAGACCAAACTTGTCAATTTCTGCCCTAAACTCACTGAACTGGCTAGTCCAGTGTTTCCCAACCCTGTTCCTGGAGGCACACCAACAATCAAACCCATCTGAATCAACTCATCAGAACATTAGTAGAGACTCTAAAACCTGAGATGAATGGGTCAGATAACAGAGACATCCAGGATATATAATGTTGATGTGCCTCCAGGAACAGAGCTGGGAAACACTGGGCTTGTTTTAGGCATTTTTCAAAAGTGTACTTTTTAACATTTTAAATTCACTTCTTTGTGTTTTGTTTTGCTTTTTATTTATTTATTTATATTTTGAACACCATGACGGTAAATGGGTCAGCAGTACACCCAGATCAAAGAAAATGGGATAAAATCTAAAGACTAATTAAATTACTGAAAGATTCTTGTTTTTAGATTTATTTGATTTAATTTGTATACTATTTTTAACGCATTTTTGTTTATCAATTATTTATAAATAAACAAGAAGATTGAATGGAAGTGAGTGGAGTGTGTTTGAAACCATACTTCCACTATCAAATCAAAAGGACAGAACACTGGATCACTACAAACATCCAGGACGGTGTTTTTGAATCTAAACTCTGCAGAAAATTAACATTTCAGAATCAAGGTTGTTGATTTAACATCTTCCCCAAACTTGACAAAAACCTTTTCCCAAACTCACGTAGCAACTTAATCTTCATCCATTTATACAAATAAATTTAAGGAATCATCAGACTATTCACATCAAAAGTTACTATTTATTCCTTTAGCAGGTTAACCTATGACAGTGATTCTCAACTCCAGCCGGTGGGACACTCCTCCCAGAATGTGGAGACGTCCTACACGCTAAGAAATTGTTGAGTTAAACCAGTAAGAAAACATTTTTGGGGACTGGAGGTGAGAAACTAATCTCTGAAATGTAAAAAAAATACAAAACAATCCCATGAAATCATCAATACATCCCACGACACAGATGTGGGACGAATGACTGACCTGATAGCGGGTTGACCTTCGGGTTGTTGTCCTGCTCTTCGTGCCTCACTGTAGCACAATACGACCCAATCGCCACGGTCATCATCAGCATCAGCCCAAATCTTGCCTGGAAAAGCATCTTCTCACATTCAGTCAGAAATCCAGCACTTTTTGGGTTGGGTCTGCGGCGGGGGACGTGTTTTATACACGCGTCCTCTTGCTCTCCTGAGTGGAGTCAGACTGCCAAAAAGCGTGTCCTTGGAGTAACAGTGGGTATTTGAGGCATGCGAGTGGACGTGTGAATTTTGAGGGATAGTGAATGGACATCACATGCCTTGAGTTTTGATAAGGTGAGGAGGAACTCATACTGACAATGGAATATTGTATAGACCTCAGACACATCTGTAGTAGCGGATAACGGTTTAAGACTCCTTGTTGGCAAATTGCAACAAAGTTCTATTCTTAGTTTAGCCCTTCATTCCCATGGGATGGCAGTTAGGCTTCTTTTTCTGTCCGGGCAGATTTTTGTTAACCCACCAAACTGTAAGATGTTCACATTAAGAAACTTTTTAACAGTTCCTAGAACTATTTACCTGCTTTGAAGTACATTTGGACCATACGTAATGGGGAATGTTTTAGTTCAAGGAACGGCATTTGGCATTACTAACGGGTCATTCACAAAACAATGTTTTCAGCCAAAACAGGTAATGTTTTATACATTTTGCCTGTTTGTTTACATAACAGTGGTGTTTTTGGGATTGAAAACACATAAGTGGAAGTTTTTAAGTTGTGTCCATTTAAAAAAAACCTAAACAAGCGTACGTGGAATGTGATTAGGTAGGTGTAGATTAAGGGCAAGCGCAAACAAACACACAACAATAGCAGAGTATGTGGTGATGTTGTTGTTTAGCAAGTGTTTGCGAACGAGTGTTCTTCACATTACAACCATTATGCTTGTGCTTCCGGGGCCAAGTGCAATATCAAACAGTATGGGGAGACTCAAATGGTGATAAAAATAAATGTTTACAAAGTGATGTAATACTTTCGAAAATCACGATCGCAATATATATAACCATGCCTAATATGCGAAGGCCAGAAAGTGATACATTTTTTTTATAAGTTGTTAAAATATTAGTGTCTGTTATGCAGAAAGTCTAGAGACTGTTGTGTACACTATGATTTGATATAAAACTCACTTTATTGGGTGATATGACTAATTTGTGATCATAAACGAATCTTTTCTCAATTCAAATGAGTAGTGGCTTGGACCCGGAAACAGTACCACATATGTCACAGTTTAACAAGCGAAGAAAGCAGAAAAGCATCTTATATTCACAACAAAATTGTGTGCCAAGATGCCGACTACACATCGTCACTTCACTACAGGTACTGTTTACTAACAAGGTGACAGCGGCAAATACAGGCCGGGCATACATGTATATAATAACATAACTTTAACACTTCCGGGTTAAAGTACTCTATATCAAACTGTATGAGGAGACTCATCAAATGGTAATAATAAACATTTACAAAGCAATGTAATACTTTCAAAAATCACGATCACAATATATATAACCATGCCTAATATCCGATGGCCAGAAAGTGAGTTAAAATATTTAAATAAAATTTGTTCAAATATTGATGTCTGTGATGCAGCAAGTCCAGGGAATGTTGTGTACACCATGATTTTATATCAAATTCACTTTAATGTGTCATAAACAAATATTTTCTCAATTCAAATGAGTAGCGGCTTGGACGCAGAAAATATTTCATTCGTCATGACTTAGCAAACAAATAGCAGCAACACATCTTATGGCACATCTTAAGGCTTTTCTGCTTGTTAAGTGTGAATCGTCTCGTAAATCGGCCTCTGGGTCCATGAGTTCTATCAAAAGCTGCATCCGAAATTGCATACTTTTATACTATATGGCAGGGGTCAACAAACCTGGTCCTGGAGGGCCGGTGTCTGAGTTTAGCTCCATCTTGCTTCAACACACCTGCCTGGATGTTTCAAGTATAGCTAGTAAGACCTTGATTAGCTTGTTAAGGATGTTTGATTAGGGTTGGAGCTAAAATCTGCAGGTCACCAGCCCTCCAGGAACAAGTTTGGTGACCACTGCTATATAGTATGCGAAAAACAGTATGTGAGCCAAGTAGTATGTCCAAATTCAAAAAATTCGAAAAACAGTATGCAAGAAGTACCCGGATGACCTACTACTTTCAGCGAGATTCTGAAGTGTACATCCGATGCATACAGCACTATCCCATGATGCCACGCGAAAGAACTCATGAATGGGAGTGAAGCGATGCAACTGACGTGGGTGGGTCAAATGATAATGACAAAATGGCGGATGTAGTACGTTCCATTTACACTGCTCATATTTTCATAGTTTAGCTCCAATCTTAATAAAACAAAACTGAACCAGCTAATCAAGCTCTTACTAGACACTAGAAACTTTCTGGCAGGTGTTAAAACAGGTTGGATCTAAACTTAGCAGGACACCGGCCCTCCAGGACCGAGTTTGGACATCCCTGATATAGAACATACTTTTCTACCGGCCGAGTAGTACATTTAAATTGAAATGCAGTACCTACTGAGTAGTAGGCGGTTTCAATCGCAGCCAAACTCTATGGGTGGACTCAACTAATGGTAGTATTAAACGTTTATAAAGCGCTGTAATACTTGAAAAAATCACGATAGCAATATATATATATATATTTATCCATGACTAAACGTCACGACTTAAGTTGTGAAATATATAATGGACTTAATGATTGTGAAAATGCAGATCGTCTAAGAAACAAACTTTTTCATTTTTGGCTGCATCATTGTTGTGTAAACCTCACCTCAATTAGCTCTTACTTCAAAACTGGAGTTTTATGCCGAACAATAGCCCTGCTGAAAAATCCAGCTTAAACCAGCCTAGGCTGGTTGGCTGGTTTTAGCTGGTCGACCAGGCTGGTTTTAGAGGGGTTTTGGCCATTTCCAGGCTGGTTTCCAGCCATTTCCAGCCTGGTCTTAGCTGGTCAGGCTGGGAGATGACCAGCTAAAACCAGCTTGACCAGCCTAGCCAAGCTGGGAGTCCAGCCAAAACCAGCTATATCCAGCTTAAACCAGGCTGGTCAAGCTGGTTTTAGCTGGATTTGGCTGGTAATTTTCCAGCCTGACCAGCTAAGACCAGGCTGGAAATGGCTGGAAACCAGCCTGGAAATGACCAAAACCCCTCTAAAACCAGCCTGGTCAACCAGCTAAAACCAGCCAACCAGCCTAGGCTGGTTTAAGCTGGATTTTTCAGCAGGGAAGCGTACTCTTCAGTAAATACATTCCACAGGAAACACTGGCAGTTTTTTAAATACTACAAGGCATGCACATTCTGAAAGCTAATGCTAACAGGATTTACCTGTCGCATTTTGTTTTCCTAATCTCAATGATAGGTAACTCTACAAGCTGTGACAGGATACTTACCAATGTCTACATTCCATCTCCATTGTCAGGAAACAGGACACAATGAGAAAACTGCTTCGGTCACCGTGACCTCCAGTTGAAACATCGTTTGATGTTGCTGTCAGTCAGCTGCTTCACTGAACTCATTGAGTTCATCAATGTTAATGCAACCACACAAAAATGGTATGGGGTTAAATTAGTTCCTATCAATGAGTTCTTGTAACTACCCAGTAAAACCCAACAGTCAACTTTATCAAGTGAAATGAGTGTAGTTAACTCAAAATGGACTGAAAGTTAATTCTACTCATTTGAAAAGAGTTTTGAACTCAGTGTTGAACGTGATAATTAATTAAACATCTCATTACTACAACTTAAATGAAGTAAGTTCACAGTACTCATACAGATAAGTTTTTTATCTTAAATGATTTGTAGCAATCGGTTTCCTCTGTTTGAGTTGCCTTAACTCACTTTGAATTCTCTTCATTTATTGGGTTTTACTGTGCTCCAATTGCTTCTTTTACTCAAATGGAGTAAGTTCACAGTACTCACAGTTTTTTTTTTACTTAAACGGTTCGGGGTACCTTAACTTATTGGGTTTTACAGTGTACAAAAAACACTTTATTATCCTCCCCAAATCTGGGGAAATCTCTTTACTCACCCTTCACTTGTTCAAACCCTGTTTGACTTTCTTTCCTCTGCTGAACAAAAAAATGAAGATATTTTTAAAAATGCTGGTAGCTGGCACTCACTAATCTTGGCTCTTGTAAAAGATATTTTTACCTCAATATGTCTTTCCTGGTAAAATAAAGGTTATAATAATAATAATAATAATAATAATAATAATAATAATAATAATAGTAATCATCATCATCATTGACTTTTGTAGTAGTTTTTTTTTTTTTTTGTTATTGTGGAGGTTGATAGGTCCCAGCAAGTGAAAGTCAACTCTATTGTACAGATAATTGAAATTGCTTTACTCTCAGACCCTAGGTGCCTTACATATAATATTAATACAAAAAGTAGAATTTTAAAAAGAAATTACAGTAAATACAATTACAAATATAATAAAAACTAAGAATAGAAGTAAAAACAAATCAATTAAAAGAATGGAACCAGCATTCTTCAAAATGTCTTCTTTTGTGTTCAACAGCAGTAAAAAAACAAAACAAAAAACAAAAGGTTTAAAACCCCAAGTGGGAAAGTAAATGAGACAATTTTCATTTTGAGTGAACTAACCTTTAAATTGTGCATATCAGGTGAATGATTCAGAGGGAATTCATAATCATAAACAAGGAACAGATACATTTTCCACTATTGATCTGAAGGTTGCAGTAGTTCTCTAATGTCCGGCTAATTCGCTCTGAGGAAACGCAATTGCCTTGGGCAGTGGGTTTGAAGTGCCAATATATTTTATTTACATTATTAAAAGTCAAGGTCTTTAAATCTTAAGGCATTAAAGGCTGATTTGGGTGAATTGTTGATTGTCAGGCTACTCTCATTATATTCCTAACCCTAAATTCTTGAAGAAACACAGCTGCGCATGTTTTCCAGACTTTCAAGGTCCCTTCAGCGCTGGTGTGCTAGATGTGTGAGCAGTCCCAAGAGATAAGACAGGTATCTTTTAGGAGAAAGAATGGCTGAGAACAGACACAAATCACTGAGGACAAAACGCTAGACAGTTTACCATATCTGGA